TCATATAATGTTTGTATATATAAACAGTACATAATAAAGTATTTCATAAGTTCATGTTTTCAAAAACTTACTTTGGAAAGTGATCAATTATTATGCTGTAATTTGCATTTATTTGTAATAATTTTCTTAATTTTAGTCTTTAAAAACCCCAGAATTTTCACTAARTTTTCTATTTTTTGTCAGTCGGATGACATCATTTAAAAATATTAAATGTTTTGTTGCTCAGAACTTCAAAATAAAATACTWTTTACTCTTACTTGTGTAATTTTTGGGATGGCTAATTTTTCTTTTTACACAAGTAACACATGTTGACATAGTGGTACTCTTTTTAGGGTATTATTATTCTCAATRAAACAGTTTCAAAGAATAATTTAAAGGAAAGTCTCAAAGATTAAAAAACTCACTTTTCAGAGTTTCCCTCTCTGTTCTCTGCTTCTTGCTGTGCTTCTGAGAGACTTTTGGACTCTGATTCACCTTCTTGCTGAGCCTCATCCTCCTGAGCCGACTCAGGCTTCAAGGCTTCACTTCCATCCGACTGAGTTGCTTCACTTGAGCCACCAGGCGGAGCCACATCTTCCCCTGCAGCACTGACGTCACCGGTGGTCCTGGGTTCATCTGTGGGCTCAGACTGGGTCTTGGGGTCAGCTGAAGGAGACTGGCTGAGCTCAGAAGGACCTGCTGCTTCAGCCTCGGGTGGTTTCGGGGCCTCGTAACTCTGCTCTGCAGCAGGTCTCTGAGATGAACTTCTCCTGATGTTGCTCTTATCTTTACTTTTTTGACTGRTGCTGGAGCCACCTGAGGAAGGATGAGGTCATAAAGAGACCAGGAGCAGAAAAAAAGGAGAGATTTAGAGACAAATCCCTCCACAGCTGATAAAAGACTAACAGCTCTTCACATAAATCTCTCCAAAACCTGAGCGTGCAACTTTTAAACTTTTTTTTACCTTTATTGTTCTTGTCTTTCTTCCAGGTCAGCAGGCGAGGCAGCGTTCCCATGTGTGTRTAGTCCTGACTGGAGCGCGCGTAGCTGGTGGTCCGGGGACGCATGGCCCCCATGTCGTCCAGCGTCGCCTCGACTGCCGGACTCAGGTTTGCCGAGGCCACATCTTCACTGCCATGTCCTGAGCTGGACTTGGCCCTGGAGGACTTGGAGGACTTGGGGTCAGATTTGTCAGTGGAGCGGCGAAAAGAAATGTTGGAGAGACTCCCAAACCACTTGAAACCTTGAAGAGGGGGCAGTTAGAGAAGAGGGGGAAGTGGTTGTTAAGTTATCTGTGGTGAGCAGTAACTGTTGTGAAGTTTCTGGTAAACTATTTGAAAGCAGAAATAGAGCTGCACCACATGAAGGCGTCAAACTCTGCATCTTCACCCTCAGGGTGTCGGACCCTGAATTAAAAATCCAATAATTTAATGAGTAAAAGTCTTAAATAATTAATTTATCATGCTTTACTTAATGGTGCAATCATTTACTGTAAATTATGTTTGTTTAATAATTCATCTGTGATCAATTATTATTCAGCTTTGCCCTGAATGGGCCTATTTATATACTGTACAGTTACTCCAATTATAACACAATTATATTTCTTAATTCAAAACATATTGTATATAACAAGGCAAAAAATTATGAGAACAGTTGCTGATTGCATTTAATACACATTTAATTTTGCACAAAAGTTTAAAAGCTTAAAAAAAGACTTGTTTATTGTTCAGTTCATAACCGTAGTGTAATGTGCCTTGTCTGCTTAAAATTAACGAGGATGATTAACAAGTAAAGGGCAAAAGAAATAGTTTCAGACCTAAAAAAAGGGTTTCAAACAAACAAACCATGAAGTCATGTCTTAAAAAAAATCATCAGCAAATACCAGAGAGGAGTTTAGCATTTAAGCTAACAGAGCTTAATAATTATTATGTTGGTGTTAAAATACTATTTTATCTGTCTGTTATCATTAGCTTTTTCATTTTTATTTTTATTTTATTTATTTTTTTGCAGATGCAATTAAACAGGTTTCTAACAGGCTGCTTGTAAAAAAAAACAAGTAGCTAAAACAAGTGAACAAAGAATTTATGACAGGAGCGGCTGTGGTGCAGTGGTTAGGGGAGTCGTCCAGACGTTTCAGTTGTGTCCTTGGGCAAGACACTTCACCCGCCTTGCCTACTGATGGTGGTCAGAGAGTCCGGTGGCGCCGGTGCATGGCAGCCCCACCTCTGTCAGTGTGCCCCGGGGCAGCTGTGACTACAACGTAGTTTGCTATCATCGGTGTGTGACTCTCTATGTTCAGTCGTAACAGCATGAAGCTGTTGTGATGACATGCAGAAATGGGTGTGACGGAAGCGGTAGAAGGTTCTTAAATGGTAAATGCCTGGAACTTAAAGTACCTTATGAAGTCCATATGAACCACAAAGCAGTTTGCACTTCACCCAGTCACACACTGATGGTGGTAAGCTACAGACAGAGGCAGCACTGCCATGCACCGGCGCCACCAGACCCTCTGACCACCATCCATAGGTGGGTGAAACATCTTCCTCAAAGACACAACTGAGACAGCCGGAACGAGGTTTCAAACAGGCAACCAGAGCGCCGGCTCTTGGCGTAGGCGAACTAGGCAGTCGCCTAGAACACCATCTGCTGGAGGGGGCGCCAAACTGCAGAAGAAAAAAGTAATTGTAATCCCTGGTTGTAACTCTGCTAAGCGCCCCTTTCAATTAGCTTTGTCTTAAGTTCAAAACTTAAGACCCAGGACACGCTGGAGGGACTATGTCTCTCGGCTGGCCTGGGAACGCCTGGGAGTTCCCCCGGAGGAGCTGGAAGAAGTGGCTGGGGAGAGGGAGGTCTGGGCCTCCCTTCTGAAGCTGCTGCCCCGCGACCCGACCCCGGATAGGCGGAAGAAAATGGATGGATGGATTAAGTTCAAAACTTATTTCTACCAGCAGAACAGGTTGGAAGATGGCTATTTAATGTTATTTATTGTTTTTTTAATCATGCTACAGGCTCTCTGACATGTTAGATAAATTTGAAAATGAGGTTTTGAAAAAATTTGTAAGATTTGAAAAAATCCGTRAGATTGCTCTATACGTCCGCATACCTGCAAAATGACGTAAAATCCTTATAACTTACGGACAATCCGTACAAGTTGACGTATGTTGTTGTTTATTTGCTTTCTGGGAAAGCAAATAAATCTAAGTTTACCATAGTGTCTTACACTGTCAAACTTGTTTTTAGGGGTTCAAATTGAGGTGGGTGGGACATAGTTCAGGGGGAGGGGGGGTTGCGCTTCAACTCGCCCAGGGCAACAAAATGGCTAGAGTCAGCACTGCCGGCAACCTACCAAGTTACAGGACGACTCCCCTAACACTCCACCACAGACACCCACAGAGAGACAGAGGCCAATTTCAAGGTGTTGAGAAATGGCTATGATGCAAAGTCAAATTTCTTTTTTCATTTAAACATACAGTATAAACAGTATTTTCATAACAACTGAAGGTGACATAGTTACTTGATTTTGGTATARAACTGAGCTAYATGCCTGAGAAACACATAATACTGGATACAGAGACTGATAATTAACTGAAGGATGTATTTTGTCCTATAGGGCCTCTCATACCTTTCTGCTTCCCTGAAGGATGAACAGACTAAATGCATTTTGGTTTTTAGGAAAGCTGCCTTTCTCTTCCTGAACAACTGACAGCAATCATGTTTTACACAATTATAAGGTTCAAGCATTGCATTTCTGTGTGTTGCTGAGTGGGTGGACATGGTTCTGTTTGACAATCTCTGTGTCATTCCAGAACTCACCGAGGGGCTTTTTAAGCTGCTCTGTCTGCAACCACAAACTACACTTTTAAACTATTCCTTTCTCGATGCCTGCTCTTTAAAAAAGATTCAAAACGGTCCTGATCACCAAAACAAACTGTGAGAACGACGGGGCAACACCTATAAAAAGTAACACCCACAGATTCACTCGCACAAACCCACCCAATGATACTCACCTAGTTTCTTTAAACTCATGTTGGAGGGAGGTCTCAGCAGCAGATGGGTCAGCTGAGAGATGCTGCAGGAATACTCGAAGAAAAAAGAAGAAGATAAGATGTTGAAGAAGAAGAACTTTTGGTTTGTCTGCGGGTGAGGAGCTGCTCACGTTTTGTTTGTGAGAGAGAAAAAAATAAGACTGAGATGAGCAGCAGGGGCCGGGCAGACCTCATACTTCCTGTGTGAAGCAGAGATGCAAAGAGGAAATGAAAAACCCCAAAATGAGAAGGGAAGGGCATAATAATATGTACATATACAGTATATGTATAAATAATATATACACATATGCATATATATATATATATATATATATATATATACAAATCAGAAAAAATTTAAGAGACTACTTTAAAATGATCAGTTTCTATGATTTTACTCTTTATAGGTATATGTTTGAGTCAAATGAACATTGTTATTTTATTCTATGAACTACTGACAACATGTCTCCAAAATTCGAAGCAAAAATGTAATTTTTTTTTTTTTTGCAGGAAATGAGAAATGGTCAAAATAGCGACAAAGATTCAGCGCTTTCAGACCTTAAATAATGCACACAACACAAGTTCATATTCATTTAGAAACAACAATGTTTTAACTCAGAAAGAGTTCAGAAATCAATATTTGGTGGAATGCTTTCCACCAAACACAGTGAAACTGTGCAGTGGTCTCATTTTTTTCCCAGTGCTCTATTTATTGACGTGACAGCTTTTCATGCCCCATAAAAAAAGAAAGACCGAGCAAAACTAGAACAGAAATCATTCATTTAAAATGTAAAAATTGCTTTAGATGTCCGCAATTATTGACTTATAGAAGGAGTTTCTTTATTTCTCTGCAGCAGTTTTTATAGAAATGTAACATTTGTTTGAGGAAGCAGAGCTTGAACATCCACACCTGCTCTGCAACTCTTGTGTTCGCAGGATGTACGTTACATTTTTCATGCATTTGTACTTTACTTAAGTAGATTTAATCATGGGTACTTTGACTTTTACTCCTCTACATTTCTGTAATTTGTTGCATTAGAACACTCACATCACATTACTTTTATTTTATTTTATTTTTTACATTGAAAGTAATCAAAATGGGTATTTGCTGTAATTGGTCCACTGCATCAATGCAAAGCAGGAAAACACCGTTAGACCCTCCTTCAAGAAGAGCGGATCGATTCTGCATCACCTGCTGGAGCATCAGCAGCACTAACACAGCCAACATGGAGTCCACCACAGAGAGTCAGCCAGAGGAAATGCATCAACCACGGCCTTATTTAAAASACTTCTTCAAGTTAACCGGTTCGGTTAACCACTCTTGGAGAGTCACAGAGGATAAACACMAAAACATGAAGCATCTGCAGCATTGTTCACTGAAACGACACATCATTGATGTGTTAACAAACACACAAAGTAGGCACACTTCAGGATACTAAAGACCAATAGGGAGCAGTTTTACTTTTAATACTTTAAGTATTTTTCAAAAGCAAGTACTTACTTTTACTCAAGTAAAAATGTTAACTTACTTTTAACAGAGTACATTTTTGTTTGTTTATCTGTACTTTTACTTAAGTACAGTGCTTGACTTTCTCCACCACTGTTTGTATCTCCAATGATGGTTTCTGAGCTGAACTGAAAACTCTCTCCACCTCGTCTGAATGCTGCAGTTTGAATGTTCCTCAGCCAGTTTTCACTCTCCCACACAGCCGAAGCTGTTTCAGCCAATGACCGCATTTCAGCCCACACATCAAAAAGATCATTAGCATCGTTTTAATGTATTTAACTAATCAGAACCACAACTATAGACCTGAAAATATAAACTCTGACTTTGTGTTAGTGGAAGAACTGAGGCTGTTTTAAAGCAGAGTGGTTTTGTTAGAGATTTTTGTTCTTGGTTTACAGCACTTTCACATCTAAAGTTTTTCAGCCTGTTACAGCCTAAACCTATGGTCCGTGAAGACTCCAGATGYTGTGGTCTAGTTTTAGTTTCCTGTATATTGTCACTTAAAATGACATAGTGTTTGTTTGCTCAGCTACAATCTTTAGGCTGAGTAATACCCAGCAGTTATCTTTCACTTCCTGTTGACACATTTTTTTAAAAAATGACGTTCTTCTTCCCCTCAGCCTCAAAACTGCTTCAGCAAACAGCAGCAAAATTGAACTCTAGTTTTATTTATTTTTTACATTAGAAAATACCACCAGGTGCTCAAATCGTACCTTAAAAATCTAAATA